CAATCAGGCGGAGTTAGATGTAACGGCGATGATGGTGAAAATGCCCAAGGCGGTTGGTGCCGGCGCCGGCGGCGGCCTCCCGGGTGGGTTTGCTGGGTTGGGTGCCCTCGGCGCTAACGGTGTCCTCCCGGGTGGCATCAAGCTGCCTGCGGGTACCAACCTGTCCAACCTCCCGGCCAACTTCGATCCCAACTCGCTGCCCAAGTCATTGGAAGGGTTCGAGTTGCCCGCAGGGCTCCCGAAGGATTTGCCCTCCAAACTTCCGGAAGGGTTCAACCTCACAGCACTGATGAAAGGAGAGCTCAAACCTCTCCTGTGCGGCAAGGGCATTACGAATTCCAATCAGTGTGCGAACTTCGGCACCATGGCCAATGTGCTGCTCTCCACCAAGATCAAAGGGTTTACCATGGCCTGCCCAAAAGCAGGAAAATCGTGCACGCTAACCGAATGCGCTTTCGAATGCACAAACGATAATGTGAGAGCAATTGCGGGCACTATCTTGCAAGCCGCCTTGATGGCGCGCAACGCAAGCATCGCGCTCTCGTACGCCAAACCCCTGCTTGAGTGCAACTTTGTCATCGACAAGGTGGCGACTGCTCTGGCGACATGCAATAAGCTGAAGACGGGGACCTGGATGCTTGGCGTCGGCTTCTTCGTTGGGGGGCTGATGTTCGGCCTGGCCATCTACATCGTGCTCCGCGGCTCCTGCATCTGGGGCAAGCTCCCCAGCAGGCACCGGCAATTTCAGTACCGGTGAGAGAAAGCAGCGCGGCTCACGCAAGTGTAAGCTCGCCACCCGTTTCGCCGGTCCGGCACGCGCGAATCTCCGAGGGCGGAACGTGTTCCTGGTTTTAAATGTGTGTGTCTGCCGTCGAGAACGGTGGCCACACAGACACACTCCTTTTCCTTGTTTTTTTTTTTTTACAATATCCATGTAACTCGTTTTTTTGTTTGGTTCTTGCGCCAGGGTCACAGCTGGAAGTCGAGGGGGAGGGGGGCGAAAACTGAAAAGGCGGGTGGTGGACCTGCACTTAACGCGTGAAGGACGCGCATGGAACGCTGGCGCCCCACCCGCCCCCACAGCCCCTTGCCCAGCTTGTCCCCCATTGGTCGTTTCACTCATTCCCTCTGTGGGCGATGGTGTCGTCAACACATACTTAACTTGCTTACGCGGCACACACATCAGGTATCTTGCTTCAACCCGCGATCTCTCCGGCCCCTCCGCGACACAGCGATGGGAGTGGTTCGCGTGATGGGTGCTGCCGCCCTGACATTCAGCCGCCTGCAATGGACGCGGTGGGTGGGTGCTGCTGTTCGTCGCCAGCCGGTTCGGCGTGGCATCATTTCTGTGCTGCTTCTGCTTCTGTGGTTTATCTGTAACGGGAAGGAAGGACGGTGGTGGGAGGGGCGACGATGAGGGCGCGCCATCTTTGCGCCTGGCGTGTTGTGCCACCGGCGGTGGGTGCGGGGCCGCAAGGGGCCTGAGCGGCAGCACCGTGACCTGCAGGTGGCCACGCGGGGAGACCCGGCTCCCTTCCGTACCTGTGGATGCGCCCGTACGACTGCTGTAGGAATGCCCCCTGTTCTTGTTTGCGGGGCTGGGGGCACGCTGCTTGCTGCGCCCCATGCTGCTCCTGTTTGTATTTCTCGCACGTTGTTCCTTGATTTGTTTCATCTCCACACAAGACGCGCTAAGCTCACAGCCAACAAAAGTCTCCCGAAGGAATGCCGATGGCCCCCAGCAAGACAGCGGCCCTTGCAGCGGTGGCGCTGCTGGTGGTGCTTGCGGCCATGCCCGCCGTGACATCCGCCCAGCGCTCACTTGAGTGTCAAACCGTGTGGGAGGGTCCCAGCCATGAAAACGATGTCTTGACGTGCTTGAAAAGCATCGATCGCGCCAAGGGGCAGTGGCGCGCAATGCTGCTTCCCGCCGCCAACGCCGTGATCCTCCTGATCACCCTGGTGAGCTTCCCGCTTGTCTTCTTGTGCACGCTTTGCTGTCGCAGTTGCTGCTGCAAGCAAAAATCGAGGTACAACGCGGAGAGCGCACGCTGCTGTATCTGGATGTGGATCATGTATGCCTTGCTTTGGAGCGGTGCGATGGCCTTTCTCGTGATATTCGGCGCCAAGCTCCTGCTGGAGGTCGCCCCCCAACTGGTCGATGATACACTGGAGGGCCCTGTGAAGTTCTTCAATAACACGGCAGAGCACATTCTTGACTTTGCGTCAGACTGGTCCACGGGTGAGCGCAAGCAGCTGGATGCCATGAAGCTGGACATCACCCCCTTCACCAAAGTGCAGGACGAGGTGACAGGTGCCCTTGAAGATGCCCGGGAAAAGGTCCTCAAGTACCTGGACATGATCGCGATGGGCTCTTATGGCGTCGGCGGGGCCGGCTTCGCGCTGATGCTCCTGATGCTGCCGTTTGCCTGCTGTCACTGCTGCATCCCATGCCTGCCCCTCTGCCTCTCGTGCATATACTGGATCTTCGGGGTGGTGTTTGGGGTGCTCGGTGTTGTTCTGAGCGTGCTGACGTTTGTATTTTCGGCAGGCTGTGGTGAGGTGGATCTGCAGTACCAACGGCAGCCGGGTGTGTTCCAGTGGTACCTTGTGCCGTACTGCAAGAGCCAGTTCGACTTTGCAGCCATCAACAAGCAGGTTCGTGATGCTGAGACGAAGTTCTCCCGGGAGGCGTGTGTGCAGCTGTTGAATTCATGCGACAACAATCAGGCGGAGTTAGATGTAACGGCGATGATGGTGAAAATGCCCAAGGCGGTTGGTGCCGGCGCCGGCGGCGGCCTCCCGGGTGGG